AAAATGGAAAAAATTTTCCATTTTCCATGGAAAATGTGGCTAATCAAACGGAGCCTAATATTATTTCCAGGTACCTTTTATTCCAGTTGGTTGGCATGACTACTTCTACGAACAAAAAAAGGGGAGTTACTCTTTTTATATATTATTGTTCTCCATTACCGTTTCGTTTTAAAATTGCTTCAATTAAATTTTTGTGATGCTATTATTCTAGTTTTTTCCCCCTAAAATCATGTAATTGGATCCATTAACTTCGTTAAACTCCAATTGTACCTCACTTATTTCACGTGATTAAGTTTTTTACTAGTATTTGACCCCTACTTTGTTAGTTTACATATTCGGCAATATTAGTTTGTCATATTTGAATTTCATTAATCCCAATTTTTTTTAAAAAAATGCTCAAGTTGTTATTTTCTATTGCTTGCACTTATTGTTCATTGGTCTCTCCATTGCACGTCAATTAGTTGTTAAGACAGCACATGCAGCTGCGTAGTGATCGTCTTGTCACTTCTAATTTTAGTACTTTAACCATGGACCCCTCACAATTTGATGCACTCACGTGTCGAATAGAAGGTATCAAAATCCAAATGACTGTTACTCTTAAATAGAGTTAGGGCATAGCTACTAGTCTAAACAATTTTAAGCAAATCCCTCATTCTACTGATGTTAATAATTCTGAAGTGTCCAATAATAGGCAATATCATCGTCGACGGGTGATCAAAAATATTTTAGAACAATCATAGGGATAGGAATCAAGTTCGTGAGCGAGAACGAGGCTATGCCCCGTCAAGTACTCATTCTCTATCTTGTCATAAAGAGCGTTTCTTTAAAAACATTAAAGTAGATGCTCCTACTTTCGATGATTACTTAGATCCAGGAGTTTTTACTCGATGGAATGCCCTTACACAGGGAAATCAGCTAGTGACTGAGTATATCGCTCAATTTGAGGAATTTTGATTGAAATGTCATGTCCTTGAGGATGAGACCCTAACTTTGAGTACGTTTAGACACGGTCTAAGAGAGGATCTTAGATGGGAGCTTGTCGTTCGGGGTGTCACAACTCTTGATCACACTTACTCCTTAGCTCGAGAGTATGAGCAGCTTATTAGGGCTCCATATGAAAAGCGTGGTGACAATCGTCCATCCATCTCATCAGTGCCACCTCCTCCCGTTAAGTCTTTTCTAAGACCTCTCCTGTCTAACATTTCTCTGATTTTGGAAAATAAGGATAAAAATCCTGAAATTTCAAGGACTTCTTCTCACTCGCAATTCTTCAACTGTAAGGACTTTAGCCACATTTCTTCCAAATGTCCTAGACGGGCCTTACTCAATGAGGAACAAAAGTATGTAATGGATGAACCATTGAAAGATCAAATCCATGAACCTAAACTTAAAGATTTTGATGACTTGGATAATAGCGAGAACACCTCCTTAAGTGGTATCTAGACTCTTCCTGTGAATCTCAATATTGTATCCCTCGAATACAAGGATCACTCTTGGTCGGTCTTGGTTGTACGATTTGGATGTGTCATTTCATAGTCGATTCAGTTCATGTTCCTTTTTGTTTAATGGAAAGAAGAGTCATTTTATTCCTTGTAGCAAGACTTCATATACGTCTAAG